GCATTACCTAGAAGTAACACTTAGAAGCATTGTTAAACGAATAATGCTTAAAAGAGAAATTTATTCAATAAAGGAAAACTCAATTCAAACCCCACTTTCTTACATTTTCTTCACACCTTTAATTGGTATCATAGCTTGGTTTAGTTATTAATGGATATAAAACACCTAACAGTGTCATATAAAGATCCAGTTGTTGTGTGAAGAAATACTCTAACATGATAGCTATTCAATCTTCAACTACTGTCTAAAATCATAAAATTGAAGAGCAAGCTAACAAGAAAAGGTTCATCGGATAAGAAGTTATATCTGTTGAATGCTTTTGATTAAGTTCCTTGAGAGTATGAGATGTTTTCAAGAAATAAATTATTCCACTCTTGACTTTATCATAAGATCTCATTAGGAATATTTTCAAAATAAGAAATACTATTGTTCTATGATACATAAGAACTTCATAATAAAGTTGTTCATTCATGCAGACAGAAAATCTAAAAATTGGCTCTATCAAAGGAAGATTTGCAAAAGACTAGACATTGCTAAGGAAAGAATGCTCATTAACTCATCAGAAGTATGATCAAAGACTAACTCTAAATAAGTTAGCTTAGCATTGCAAGAACAAGATTGTCAGTCAAAAACGTCAAAGTTTTGATTAGAACAAATTTTACAATTTGTTCAAGGAATAAAAATTTTCAAAAGACGGTAGGCAATGATAGTTAACTCTCTCTATCACATAGCTTCTCAGAATTTCATGAAATATTGATCTTTTGAAAATAAGTTTTTGTTCAAAGGATGTTTGACAAACAGATGAATGTTCTGATAATAAAAGATCAGGATATCTTTGCTCTGAGGATTCTCTCAAAAAGTCAGACGGGTGATTCTAAACAGAACAATGAAGAGACCATTTGAAGATAAGACTGATTCTAGCTTTCAGATTAAAAATTAGAATTTAGAAGAAGTTTATTCTTCTCAAATCAGAAAACTGAGAATACTCAAATAAATAAGAGGAATCAATATGAAAATAATTTAGAACTTCTGAAAGACTACTCTGAAGAAAGCATAATAAGAAATAAGTTGATCAGAAGTTGTATCTAAAATAAAGTTAAAATTAAATATAGATGGAAGATATTCAAGAATATGACAATATCATTTCTCTCATTCTCTTTACTTATTATACTTATGCTAATTTTACTATAGACTGAGTTATCAGAGAATGTTTCGGTCAGAAATATCTCTGGTCAGATGAAACCCTTGGTTATTCAGACTCTGAGTATATTGATCGTGTCACTTAGTTAGACGAAGTGGTTAACGCGTGTAGTCCTTGATTATTCTTAATCATCACATGTTACCTAAGCTTGATCATGAACAGTGTGTAATTTCTTGAATTAATCTGTCGTGATTACTTTTATTATTTACCCCCATTAATTCTTCTATTCCTTTTTAAACACACACACCCACACGTCACTCCCAACACTTGTTAGAAACCCAATGAAAAATAGGTCACATATTAATTTCCAAAACAGGACGGGGAAACTATCTATAGGACCAGGCGATATGAATTCCCGAAACAGGACGGGTTTACCAACAAAAAACAGGTCGCGGATTAATTTTTGAAACAGGACGGGGCAACTATCTATATGACTAGGCGGTATGAATTCCCGAAGCAGGACGGGTTTACCAACAAAAAATAGGTCGCAGATTAATTCACGAAACAGGACGGGGCAACTATCTATACGACCAGGCGATATGAATTCCCGAAACAAGACGGGTTTACCAATGAAAAATAGGTCGTAGATTAATTCCTGGAACATGACGGGGCAACTATCTATATGACCAAGCGGTGTGAATTCTCGAAATAGGACGAGTTTACAACCAGAAAACAAGCCGCAGATTAATTCACGAAACAAGACGGGACAACTATCTATATGACATGGCGGTATGAATTCCCGTAACAGGACGAGTTTACCAATAAAAAATAGGTTGTAGATTAATTTCTGGAACAGAACAGGGTAACTATCTATATGAACAGGCGGTATGAATTCCCGAAATAGGACGGGTTTACCACCGAAAAACAGGTCGTAGATTAATTCTTGAAACAGGATGGGGCAACTATCTATATGACCAGGCGGTATGAATTATCGAAACAAGACGGGTTTACCAATGAAAAACAGATCAAGAATCAATTCCTGAAACAGGACGGGGCGACCATCTGCATGACCAAATGATTCCCCCAAAGACTGAATTCTTGCGAGCATTCTCCTTCAGGGCTTTCTTCTGAAAAGCATTCCCCCTAGAGACTGAATTCTGGAAAGCATTTCCTTCAGAGGTTTATTCTGAAAAACATTCCCCTTCAGAGAATGAATTTTGAAAAAGCATCTCCTTCAGGGCCTTCGTCCTGAAAAACATTTTCCTTAAGAGATTGTTTGAATGGCATCTGTCAGGCGTATAGTCATTATGATGCTCATATCAACAATTACTTTGGATGGAATCTGTAAGCCCATCTCCGACGACACTCTATCACCCCTCCGAATGGCATCTTTAAGCCCATTCAAGCAATACTATCAACCAAAAGCGTTATTTCATGCACCAGCGAGTGCAAATTTCTGGGCACTTAGGTGTTCAATCTTCTTCCACCTTCAGATCACGAATGGCAGACATGTCAATCTAACTCTTCAGGTTTAAGAAGATTGAACAGGGGCAGTTGTTGTACCCCAAAATTTTCCCTCCCATTTTTGAATACAATTGATTCAAGACACCACATCATGCTCCTAGGGTTCTCAATTACTCAAGAATACTCAAGGGTTTGAGCGTACAAACACCTTTCCTAAGCAATTGGCCTATAACTAGGGTTTTGGTTTTATCAAATAAAATTTAGCTTCTAATTCCTCAAGTGAGTTTCATGGTTTCTCATATGCTTCAAAGAATCCTCATGTCAAGTTTCAAGCCTTGCATCACAAGTTTGCTTGGTCAATTGCTCAAATGATTGAAAATTAACTATATAGGATAAAAAGTCAACAATGGTCAACATACAGTCAAAACTAAATATTTTTTGTCAATATCAAGACTTTGAAGTCACATTCATCATTTTACCAAGGGTTAATCATGGTTCATCAAGAAAACTCAAGATCCATCAAAAGTCAAAAGTTACTAAATTAGGGTTTTCTTTAGGAAAAGTCAACTGAATTTTGACCAGGCATAAATTTCACATACTTCATCAAGAATTCCTCAAACAAATCCTATATTGAAGGGAATCCAATTATCTACAACTTTGTCTCTCTAATCCAAGTCCAAAAATTGCTTCATTTGAGAAATATGAGCCAAAACATTACAGGACATTTTAAAAGTCAACAAAAAGACATCTTTTGTAAAAGCAATTTACATCAATTTAAATACATTAAATGAAAAAGTTACCAAAATTAAAGTAGTAGGGAACATCTTGAGCTTTCCAAAAAGCCCGATATCACCTTCATATGACAAAATTTGAGAGAGTTGTGATTGGTGCAAGTTGAGATGTTTTGAGAAAATGCATGAAACCACAATTGAGCAATTTTGGACTTTTAGGCTAATGAGCCTAACTTTTGAAGTTCAAACGAGTTTATGACATGTTTAGGGACCCCTAATTCCATTCATGCATTATTTTAATTTTTTATTTTGTTTATTTTGATTTTATTCATTTAAAATTCAAAATTAAATTAAATAAATATTAAATAAATGTACAAGGCATGCGGGATTTTGTTTTGGATCATTTTGAAGTCCAAGATCACATATCCAACATAAAAAAACCGTGAGGGATGAAGAAGGAAAGATATCTTCGTGTTTTGGAAAGTTTTTCAATTGTTTTGGAAAAAAATAATGACTTTGATTGCACATGTTTCCTTCCAAGAATGTTCGTTAAAAAAATATCCATTATAAATAGAGGACACACTCCATAAGACAAGGACACGGTGTTGCACCCCATTTTTTGTCCCTAAGATTACTTTATCATATCATATCAACTCAATCATAACAAGAGCACACTAGGGCTTAACTCTTCTCCTTATCTTTAGCTTTGCTCATGAGGAATCACCAAGCACCTTGACTTGTATTTTGTGATCATCTATGTTTTGTATTTTTTAACTTTTAACTAATAAATACAATTAATTTTTGCTCTAATTGATGATATTATAGGTGAAAGCACAACACGATCCATCAAGTTGATCTACAGGTTCATGAGCTTATCCCCATGTCTTATTCAACAAACACTACAATAAAATTGGCAGATTGCGACAGGTATTTTTGTAGATTACGATGGTTAAAACCGTCGCAATTTGCTTTCCACGACGGTTGCTTTACCGTCGCAGAAGTGTGTGTCCCCAACCTATTTCGCGACGGTTACAAAAACTGTCGTTCAAGTTTACGACGGGTTTGGAGCTGACATAATCAAGTATTGGTGACTGTTTGATACCGTCGTGACTATCTTTTGAGTTTCTTTTAATTATTGATGGCGACGGTTCGATACTGTCGTGAATATCTTTTGAAATTGATTAAATTGTTTATGGCGACGGTTCGATACCGTCATGACTTTTGTTGATTATTTTTAATTGTTGATTACGACGGTTCGGTACTGTCGCCATGACTTTTGTTTATGTCTTGATTTTTTTTTATTTTTCTATTATATATATTTTTTATTTAAATTATTATCTATGTAAAAAATTTTAAATATAGTTTTTTTTTGTGTTATTTTTTTCTTTAATATATTTATTTATAGTATTATTTTTTGTTTTATTTTCTATCACTTTGTAATATAGTAAAAATAATTTCAATAAAAAATATTTAACATCAAATAAGCATTATAATATCCAAAAAAATGTGTGTTCCATAATCATGTAAAATGCGAGTTCCATAATCATGTCAAGTAGTACAAAAAACCCAAAATATATCAATTCCTAATCTTATAATAATAAGTATCATTATGCCAAAAATACATGAGAAAGTTCACAATCTAATTATCTCGATCATAGCAAAGTCTAATTTGTCCCCCCTGAAGTTCCATTATCTCCAATACGGTAGCTAGACTCAGATGAACGTCTACCATCAGCGGGTGATTCCAATCCCTAAAAAAAGGTATTAAAATAATAATCTTTAAAATAATACTCATAAAATTTAACTTTAAATGCGTCAAAATAATATACCTGTCTTCCACTAAAATTCTGCATTTGCATTAAGAGTTCAATTTCCTTTGTCCTCGCCTTGTCCCTTTGCGTTAAGAATATGATTGCCTGTGTTAATTCATCAATTTTTGAATTATTTTCTTTAAGTGCATTAATTTCTTCTTGCATTTCCTTTATTTGTTCACTTTCTGCAGAAGAAGATGTCGATCTGGAAACGATCGACATAGATGTTGTTTGACAACTTCCGCTAAAACAAACAATATACCTTATGAATAAAACAAAAATATTTTAGGATACAAGACATGAATGACTTCGAACATAGAAAAGTTAGCTTTTTTGCAAACAAAATTACTTCAAACAACATCTACAAACAAAATGACTTCAAACATAGAGCAAACCAGTTATAGATCTACGTATTATGTGTAAAAGTAAATACAAAGGAATTGGTTTGTAACATAACATGTTTGTAACAGGTTTGTAACATCGAAAACATGTTGATGAAGCTCAGAACAAATGTATACGATGACTGATGAATTGGCAGTACCTGTGAATGTAACCAAATATAATGGTAGAACTCCGACGGTGAACTGAACGTATAGGGCTTTCATCATGTTCTTGACAACTGATTATTTGATTGTCGCCTATTATTAAAAATTGGAAGTGTAATGAGTTCACATATGACATTGGATTTATTGGTACTCAGAAATGGCATAGAAATTAATATGTTGATAGTAAAATAAAAAAAATCAAGCAAATATACAACTCTTATCTATAGCAAGGAACTAAAGTAGGGTAAGCTGTTGACATACATAATTAGAAAATGATTGCAAAAACCTTCATGAACAGATGATATATGAATTGGGCTTGAGGAATATAGATATTTATTGGCAACACAAACATATACAGTCAAGTTTATTACTATCATCATATATAGAAGCAAAATCATGGCTTCCTCAATTCACATAACCAGATTTTAACAGCTTTACCTTTACCAACAAAGCATCCATCTTCCTTTTATCAATCCTGAGTGGACTTTTCATCTCCATCAACATCTTCTGACCCAATGCTTTAATTGATGATTCCCCTTTTTCACTTCTATGCTTTCCAACCCCACAAACCACAATAATTTCAGCAATAATCTCAAAGTTGGAAGCATTCAACAGTAATCTTCACAAACACTCCACGATTGAATGAAACCGCATGGGTAAATGCAATAATTATAAGAGGAAGTTTTTACTATTAGCCTGTTAAATGAATATAATACATGGTATATCTTGTGTATACCATAGGAGTACTCAAAGTATATTGGTCTTGATGAACTTACTTGGCACAGATCGACTAAGATGATTAAAATTACCAGTCTCCAAATTTTGAGATAAATGCAGCCTGGCCCGCATAACATATCACAAGAAGCGGATATATCAAGCAAATAAATGTAACATATGAGAAGTGAAAGATGAAATTTGGTTGCATTTATTCTAGCCAGGTATGTAGAAGAAGGACGCTAATCATTTCATCTCCTTTATGAACATACATGTCGCATAGCTGGATCTTTCATCTGGTTTCTCATCTGTTCTTGTAAATCAGTACTTGAGGATGGGAAGTTTGGCTCTGAAGCATTTATAATATTTGAAAACGCATTGTCAGAAAAACTTGATTCTCCAAAAGCACGAGTGGTGCTTGAGGATGGGAAGTTTGACTGTGACAAATTTCTTCCTTTCTTGTCTACAGCTGCTGCTGATGGAATAGATTCTTTCCCTTTCATTAAGGATGCCATTTCAAACATCTTCTTAAGGTCATCCGGTGGCATTTTACTTATCATATCAGTTGCTGTTTTAAGCATATCAGGTGTCACATTGGGAGGAACTGATCCAGAGTTGAAAGGAGAATCAGAGGAACCTCCTCTGAGAAATGGGTTGTTCCCTTGAAATGAAGACGCCATGTCGAACATTTTTTGAAGTTCCTCGGGTGACATCTTGCCGATCATATCCGAGGACGCTTTAATCATATCTGGAGACACGTCTTGGGATTGCCCAATGTTCAAAGAAGCCAGAGTGGCAGGATCAGCTTTGGAAATAAAATTTTGGAATGATCTGTAGTAGAATAAAAAACAAGATTGAGGGTCTATTCTTTGATCTATTTTTATACCAATGATTGAATTAAAAATAAAGCATAATATTCTTAATACATTTACATAAAATCCAACTACCTGATGGCTTCTGGATCTTTCTTCAGTGTATCTATATTGTCTGAATTTGATTTTAGATTTCCATTGTTAGCTATATTGTAACTCTTAGAAGAGTCGCCAGACTTTTTTGGTTGATCAATCGTTTGTTCGGTAGAAGAGTTTCTGTTGTTTCCAGAAGGAACATTCTCAACTTCTTCAGTTATTTCTTCAATTACTAATCCTTCAAACATGATGCCAAAAAAAAGTTAGATCTGACATCGATAAGAAATTTAGAGCCATAAAGCATAGTAGGGCCAGGACCAAGTGGAAGGGGGTAAAAGGAAATGGGATGGGAGCACATACTTCCAGGAGCACAATGACCACCTTCCTTTATCAACTGTTCCTTGGTGTCCCTGAAATAAACAATTGATTAAATTAAACAGAAGTCCAAAGAGAAGTTTACTTCAAGCATACCAACTCCTTTATTAGAGATCACTCAATATTCTATCGTAAAAAACAAAATTGTTATCACATTACATATATACTTAATTCAGCATCCAAACCATTATTTATACGTTGAATGGTAGAAGGATTTGATGAAAAATCACCCATAATTAGATGGTTATAAATCACAAGAGGTGTAACTATGTGGAAAGGAGTAGGAACGCACCGTAAAAGCTCTCCAATTATATCATCATCAGGAGACACTTCAAGTGCATTGCTCAAATTAGTGACGACATCCTAAACAAACCAGGAAAGCTATTAAATATAGATATAAATGAAAATATAAGAAGTTAATCAAGTCACTTGAAGGTCACCCGTAGCAGGCCTCGTTCCTTATATGCCTGGCCTCTTCGATAAAGATCCTTAAGGTTCTTTGCGTCATACGCCAAAACCTACCATAGTTAAAAGTGAATTAACGCATTGATGTGATGAAACAGCCAATTTTCAAAACAGAAAGTAAATTCATAGCAATCATGTTATTGCATATTACAGTTAGTTACAATGGAAATTTATTTATAATCTCCTAGGCTGATAAATTTCCCCATAGTAGTAACGCTACTAACATGTTGCACATGACTATTAAAATTTACAACTTAACATCCCACTGCAATGGTAAATGAAATGAATTATGAATACCTCAGAACCTTCTTTTATGAATTCATCATACTGCCTTGTCTTCAAGTAGCAGGCCATCAAGTTAAGTGAGCATGCCAAAAGAAGTTTTCTACTTTGAAAAGATGGAATCTCTTTGATGTTTTCCTTGGCCTAAAATGTAAAAATTAAAACAAGGTGATATAGACTTATAGTGATAATTTCCTATAGTCTCAAAATAGAGATAAACAACAATGAAAGGTGTGGAGGAGACAGTTAAGCAATCTGAAAAGTCAACCTACCAACTTATACTTCTGCAAAGCATCATCGAACTTTCCTTAAAATCCATACAAAATTAAAAAGCATCAACAAAATTTTATAACAATATTACCCGAGCAACATCCAAAGTGTCAAAACAACCAAAATCTTCATTGTAACAACATTTTGCCCATTCATGGATCAACCAGCACAACTCACAACCGGAAGTTTGTAATCTTCGACAGCACTACACTTGTTCATATGCAAAGTACTTCATCTTCCAACAATAAGAGGATTCTTGTTCTTGTAAATGTAATAGCTCATACACAATTTCTCTAAAGTTGCAACAGAATGCTGCATAGGATTTAGCTTTATATCCATCATCATTCTCTGCCATAATAACAACAAAACATTAAACAGCCTCCTAACAGCAACATTTTCACTTTACAATGTTAATATATCTTCAATTGAAATTAACATGACAACAGATCAAACCTGAAAATCAGCTCCATATTTCTCAACTAGCCGACTAATATAAAGACGCTGAATCGAAGTCAAAGGTTGGGGAAGTGCACTTTTACCATCTCTTCTTCTCTTTCCCAGTGCCGATTTCAAATCTACACCACAAAATTCATAAAATTTACATGCATTTCAAAAAAATATAAACAATTTCTGATACTAAAATACACGAAAATACCGTCTTCTTCGAGGTCACTGCCGGAATCGTTGGGGTCATCGGAGACAGAAGGAGGAGCTCGAAGAGAATCGGTGAGGGAGTTAGGGTCATTGACGACGCCGAAGGAATTGTAGTTTTGTGTGATGCTGCCTTTGTCATCCCATTTAGGGTCTTCTACAAGGGATTGTAACAGTTTGGGAGGAATGGTGAAAGCGGGTTTCAAAACTTTAGGGTTCTTCTTTGGAAGACCCACACGAACCTTAGGTCGAGAATTCTTGTATTTTCTTCGTGAGTTGAAAAAGTGAACGCAGGAGTAGAAAGTGAATTGATGTTTTATGTATTTTAAGAGCTTTTTAACTTTTTTACGGCGACGGGTGTTTTACCGTCGTGCCCATGAGAATTTTTAAAGGTTTTGGGTGCGACGGTTGTTTTACCGTCGTGAAATGAATTTTAGGACGGATAATTTTACCGTCGTGAAAGGTTTAAGGGTGCGACGGGTGCTTTACCGTCGTGATATGCCTTTTAGGACGGTTAATTTTACCGTCGTGACTAGTTGTTGGTGAAAAATCAATGTTAAAAGTGTTAAATGGGGGCCGACGGTTGTTTTACCGTCGTAATAATAATATTATGATGGTTAATTATACCATCGCAAAATAAATATTAGGGACGGTTGGTGTCAACTGTCGTAAACACTGTCTCTATATGTCAATTACGACAGTTATCACATAACTGTCGCAATTTTTGTGTCGTTAAACACTAATTTTCTTGTAGTGAAAGCTTCATTGAGATTCAAGTTTCACCATTAAAGGTTCTTTGAAATAACATAATGACAAAGTCTATTATGATTCATCATGCCTCAAGTTTCCAAAAATAGTTCAAAGGTACAAGGTTTGATTGAAGAAGTTTGACTTAGTTGGACAAGTCTTTGATTTCTTGATAACAAGTGCATAACTCCCTTAATTCTCAATATTTGGAAGTGGTTATGGTTTCTATGGTTTCTCATTACCATCCCCAACAACTTCCATTTACAAGACAAAAGTATTTGTGCAATAAAGATTGTCAAAATTGAAGAGGTTTCCCAAGGCATTTTGTTGCTCTAGGAGCTATGGTTTTTGAACTTCTAAAGGCCATATCTTGCTCATCTTTTGGTATTTTTGAGTGATTCCAAAAACATGCTTCTCTTTAAATTGTTATCAATAAATCACTTCAAAAGTATCAAGAAAATTTTGTGTGGAAGATGCCTAATGATGAAGAAATATTACAAGTCCTCTAAACAAACTATCAAATTCCCATACATGACTTCAAAAGATCATAACTTGGTCAACTTTTATCACCTTGAACCCATTATTTTTCCATATTGATCTTAAAGATGTGAACTTGAACCCTTTTTTTAAGTGCAAAGTGTGAAAATGAATGGAAGATGCCCTAATGATGCAAAATATTATATGTCATTTTATGAATTTTTTCCAATTTTAACAAGTCGTAACTTTCTCAATTTTTGGAGATTTTGAATGGTTCAAGTCTCAAAATGTCATTCAATAGACCTACTTCATTCCATCTTTTTTGGTCAAGAGCAAATTTCAAATGGAAGGCCATGATTGGATGCAATACATTACAAGTCATTTTTGAAGAGAAAACTTGAAAATTTTCTAAGTACAAAAGTCAACCTCTTTTTCTCAAATTTGACTCATCACATCTTTCAGCTCAAGCATCCATTTGATCCCATTCGTTGCACATCATAAAGTTTGTAATCTTATCTTTCCAATGCATCAAGAATCAAGTCTAAAGGTTTCCTAAATCGTGCACACCATTGATTTGAATATGGTACTTTGAAATCATTGATTTAGCTTCTAAACACAAAATTTCGGCGTGTTCTTACTTCTAATCATGTTTAATGAACCTCCAGAAGTGATTAGCATATTAAAACGCAAGGTTTTGATGAGTTTTGATCAAATTAGAAGTCAAGTTTTTATTGTTTACAACTTCACACGATTTCCCTCCAAACTTCATCATTTCACACGCTTGAGCATTCAATCAACTTCCCTATAAATAGAGGATCATACCTCATTCATTTTCTCAAGCTTAGAAAGCCATAATCAACCTGCAAAACTTCCTCTAGAACTCAATTTTCTGCAACTTCGAATTTGCTCTTACAGCCTTTCTTAATAAGTTTTCTTTGTTAATTCACCTTCCTTGAACCTCAATAAAGCTAACAGAAGAAGAATTAAGCTCCAAGACTTCCTAAATCATGCTAGCCAAGTCCAGTTTTAGAGCTCTGTAACTTAACTTCAATAGGTAGATTTCTTCACCAATTCTCTCAAACTTTGATACTGTTATGAAGCTCTCATCATCCTGATTCTATTCGCAACACTTGTTCTCAAATGGAAGTATGTTTTGGCCATGAAATTTCAAATCCCTTTTCAAAACTTATTTTTAAAAACGAATGAGATACAATTTATATAAATTTTTCGCGAAGGTACCATTGGAATCGTCTTGAAGAGACGAAACCAATGGTACTACTGGTCTCGTGTCTTAATTTTACAGTTTCTGGAACCTGCAGATTCGTTGGCTGGAGGTTAAATATGACCAACGTGTCATCTATCAACCAATGAAGGCGTGCCACGCATTTTTCAAAATCTGATTTAAATAAATGATTCCATGCTTTATTCAGTAAAGACCATGATATGCACAGTGCGTATGATCCATTGGATTAGCTTACTAACGCATTTTTACTCTCATTCACTGGTCCATATTTTTTTGACTTTATTTTATTTTCTTATTTTTTATATTTAAATTGTTTTAAACTTCAAAAAAATCATAGAAAATTCATTTTTGCTTCAAAAAATCTAAAAAAATTATGAAAATACTTTTGATTTTTCTCTTTTTGATTATTATTTTTTCACAATTTTATTTTGTGTTTTGATATTTTTTATAATTTTTCATTTTATTTGAATTGTTTTAAATGGAAGGATCCAATGACCTTTTGACAAATATTGGTGACCTCATTTCATTTTTATTTCTGACTTTACTATTTTTCATAATTTTTGGTTTGTTATGCCTATTTCTTTTAATTTTAAAAATAATTTCTGACCGTAAAAAATTACCAAAAATTTTGTATAAATATTTGAGCTCACTTCTGATTTTCCTATAGTCTTAGTTGATTTTTCTTGGATGTTTTGAATACAATTGATATTTCTCTCCTTTAATTTCATTTAAAAATCATTTTAAAAATCATTTTCTTTATTTTAAAATACTATTTTATTTTGTATTATATTTTGGCTGATCTTGGACTATGAAATTTGATCATAAGCTTTATTAATATCATTGGATCCATGGTGTTAAGTTTGACTCCACAAAAAATAGATAAATGATTTTAATAATAGTTTGATTCAATTTTTGATTCAAATGTGATTTAATTCTTACCTCATCCCTCTTCATCTTATCCCTTTCTTATTATACTAAATGTTATTGGAGAATAATTTTCATATCATTTCTCAAAATAAATGGTACACAGATTGCTATTGATCGACCTCAAAATAGGTGCGACTTCTATATAAGTCCACTTACGATTGCTTAACATAGCGCTAAATTTTGTCCGGATATTGAGAAAATGATCATTCATGGCCCAAACCCATGTTTGAAGCCCAAGTATGTTAATTTGAACCCTTTGATCCAATAAAATTGAGATTCATTGTTAGGAGGTTTTGGTCATGTCAATCCTCCAGTGAATTTTCATCAATTTTGGTCAAATTGGATCACTTAAACATCATTAATCATTTATTATTGCCTTGAGATTTAAATGAATGATATATTTGACAAAAAGAAAATTCAACTTGTTGTTGAGAGACTTTGATTTTATCAATCTTCTAATGAGTTCGAAATCCAAGTTTCAAGATGGACATTCAACTAACCACTAATTCCTAAAAATTAATTTAATTTTATGCTTTTACTTTATGTTTTTACTTTAAGCACATTTATTTTAGTATTTACATTTCATGTTATTTTCATCTTTGCTCACTTGAACATTTACTTTTTATGTCATTTTGTTTTGCTCATTTGAGCTTTCATTTTCTTTTTGAAGATACCTGATAATCAACTTGATTCATAAAAAACTTTAACTTCACTTGGACTACTTGGTTACTATCCTTTGCATTATGGAGTTGTGGACTTCTTGGACTTAGGATTAGAAGTTGTGACCTACTTAGAGACCTTGTGACCTCAACTGTTATTTTGTTTGGAGTTCTTGGGGTTTACCCCAAGACATTGAGTTGTTTGTTTGTTTGTTTGTTTTGTGTGCAAGTTATTTTGATTACATGCTTTATTTGTGATCGGGAATTCATCTATATACAGCCGTTACTCTGTCCAGTTTTTATGAAGACTTAATACAATTAAAGCTTGGTTTTCTTAAGAGGTTTAATATCTTTGTTTTGTGTGGTTCCTTTCCATAGCTTTTACCTTATGCTTTAGGATAGTCCCTTCATCTCCTCCCATCTTCTTTAATTTCAAAAATCTTCTCCCTCCTTTTCAAAAATATTCTTGTTTTCTAAACTTGAACCGCTTTCATAATAAACTTGGACTTAGGTCCATGCACTTTCAAACATATTTTCTTAATCAAACTATAATCAACTTAATAATACCTTAACACTTTTGTGAGAAGACTAAAAATCAATCAATCTCATTCAAACTATTTTTGCCACTTTGGCTTTTTTACCTTAAACTTTTTCTCAAAAGATTAGACTCTTGTCAATCCTTGTAGTGATGCGAGCTACTATACTTCTATGATATGTAGTGAAATGTGATATTTTCCACTTGGTTCTTGAGCGAGGCTTTATTGATTTTAAAATCCAAGCCATATTCTCCACTTTGAGATGATGCAAATTCTCATTTCTCATAATCGTGGGTAGTAAGTATGTTCTTCCACTCGGATAAGACGATGATGTCTCGTCTCTTAAAATTTACCAACACACTTGTGTTTTAAATTTTTTTAAGTTGAACTACGAGTACCCTTATCCCCTATTGCACGGAAGGTGGTACATAGGCACTAATGGTTCGTGACCGCGGCGGGTGAAAAAATTGTAAAAAATATTACGTTTCCCATCTCCACCATCTATTTTTATATACAACATTTATAGCAAAAAATACACAGATTTTCAAAGAGGTTCCTACAGCGTACTGTAGATGTTTAGGATGCTAATACCTTCCCTTTGCATAGCCAACCCCCAAACTTAGATTCTCTCCCCCTCTCTTTTGGGTTATTCGCTCTTTTCTTATTCCTCTGGAAATAATAAAGCGCGGTGGCGATTTTTTATTTGATCTGTGCGAGTCAATCCAACCCAATGGATTAGTCTTAACATTTCTACCACTACACACTGATTGATTGCCATATAAACAAGTTTTCAAACACAAAATTTTCAAAGAATAGGTGCAAATCGTATCCCAGTTTTCCATCCATTCTCAACTGAGATAACATTAATTTCCAAGATAACCTCTAGGGTAACCTCTCTCCGTTGCCTTGCGATACTAATGGTCACGTCCCACGAAAATGGGAATACTTTAGCAAAGACCCTCGGTTAAACAATATCATCATGGTCCCTTTTGAATAAAGATCATGATCCCTCTATGACCCTTTGAGTTGCCTACAAAATGATCTAGTCCCTTCGATGACCCTATGAGAAAAATGATGATAGTCCCTTCGAATTTCTAAAGTATCCTTACATGTTGCCTTCTATGACCATACGACGACCCTACGCATATCCCTTTATATCCAATAGATAGGGTTACCTACCAACTAATAGTGTGGATAATACTATCTCTAACAGAGAAGGAAAATAATAAGAATGACCTTTAGTGGGTAAGACTCAACAACTTGCTTGCTCATAACAGTTTCAAACAAACAAATTCATTTTTACACCTCACGTTTCAAAACAAATATTTTAAAAAAAACACTTACATATACATTCTTGAGGAGTGATACAAGAATTATTACAAAGCCTACCTCAAAATTGGCATTCAAAATATTTTCAAATCACACACACACAAAGCAAGTTTAAAGTGAGCTAATCAATTAAGAGCCCGTAGATAAGTACGGATGAAAGTGATACTAACACCTTCCCTTTTCATAACTTACCCCCTGAGCTCAAAATCTATCAAAGGTCTTTCCTGTTCTTTTCACCTTTCCTCATTGGATAAAATAAAAATTGATGGCGACTCTTACTAACCGCAACATTTATGATAAAACGCAAAACAAGTCAGTTCTCCCACCATATTACAATGTGCTTATGCAGAATGATAGAGTAGTCTCTTATGCGTCGAGACAATTGAGAATCCATGAGAGGAATTATCCAACTCATGATCTAGAATTAGCTGCAGTAGTGTTTATGCTGAAGATTTAGAGACATTATCTCTATGGTTCCAGGTTTAAAGTGTTTAGTGATCATAAGAACTTGCGGTATCTATTTGATCAGAAGGAATTTAACATGAGACAGAGGCGGTGGTTGGAATTATTTAAGGACTACGACTTTGGATTGAATTATCATCCAGGTAAAGCTAATGTGGTAGCTGGCGTTTTGAGTTGGAAGACCTTGCATATGTCTGCTATGATGGTTAGAGAACTAGAGTTGATCGAACAATTCAGAGACATGAGTTTGGCTTGTGAAATGACATCACTGAGTGTGATGTTGGGGATGTTGAATATTAAAAATGACTTCTTATATAATATTAAAGAAGCTCAAAAGTTAGATGTGAAGTTGGTAGATTTGATGGTCGAGAGTAACAAATCTGAAGACATTGACTTTAAAGTAGATTCCTGTTGTACCCCAAAATTTGCCCTCGCGCTTTTCCACAAGAAATCTCAGCTTCAGACATTTCCTGACTTTTCAAACTGGCTCAAGAATCGGACAAACGAACTTTTCTTGAAAGTCAAGCAAAACTAGGGTTTTACTGATTTTCAGAGCTTTGGGTTGTTTCATACAGTTGGCTTAGGGTTTGGATGATTTTTGATTCAATTTTGATCAGGCGAGCGTTATTTGGCATTTAATCAGGAGTTAAGGTTTTATGGGCATATTCTCAGAAGAATTGAAACTCCACAGTACTTCGCGGTTTATTCCGAGATTCGGGTTGAAGTTGCATTGTTCATAATTTAATCAGTAAAAAGAGACAGTGGTTTGAATTCAGTACGTTTTGATTGGGCCAGTCAGATACAGTATGCAGTATTGGGTTCACAGTGTTTATGGCAAATCAGTGAAGAAGGATTGCGTTTGATCAGTCTGTTTGGATTGACTGCTGCTTTGCTTTGGATGTTGAATAAGACAGGTTTAATTGATCAATGTTGTTTTATTTAAGTTATTTATTATTCTGAAATTGAATGATTGAAATTCATTTTTCAATTGTTTTAGTTCAAAGAATTTTAAATAAATAAATAAACAATAAAGAAAATTAGAATTAATTGGATAATTTAGATTTTATTGATATTTGAATTATTTGT